GCTAAACTGTTGTTTATTTTGACATTGGCTTAATGGGATAGTTTCAATTCAAGGTTTAAAAATTGTTTCCAGGCAGTGGGTTTAGGGGTTCAACTGCTCTCAATGGATCCAGTAAGTCTGGTTACCATGAGAATCTGAACTTCTGTTCCACATATTTACTCCTTTTGATCAAGATCCATCTGTTGGCTCCTTTATCAAAATGTTCAGTAATGGCAGTTGTTCACCATCCGTTTCTTCTGGTCTCATGGCAGAGGAGACAGTAGTACATGGATACAGTTAAACCTGCAGCCTGTTTCCTTAGAGAATATAATTTTTTACTATATTAAATGAATTTGTGGCTAAAAAGTAAGGCTCAATTAGAATAGAAAGGAGTGTTTTAAGTTAAAACTATGACCATGATACAATGAAAGTTCTAGAGCAGCACTGTTCAATAGAAATGTCTTTAGTTACAAGTATAATTTTAAATTTTCTCATAGCTATATTTTGAAAATTAAATCAGTGAAATTAATTTTAATAATAGATTTTATTTAATTCAGTATATTCAAGATATTTCAATATGTCATCAATATAAAAATTATTAATGAGATATTCTGCATTCTTTTTTTTATTCTACGTCTTTAAAATTCAGTGTGTGTTTTATACATTCCAAAAAAAAAAACCTGTTGCTGTCAAGTTGATTCCAACTCATAATGACCCTATAGGACAGAGTAGAACTGCCCCATACAGTTTCCAAGGAGTGCCTGGTGGATTCGAACTGCCAATCTTTTAGTTAGCAGCCATAGCACATCACAAGTCAGACAATCCACATTCAAATGCTTAATAGTCACATGTGGCTAGTGATTGTTGTTTTGAATATCTCAGTTCTAGAGGATATATGAAGTATTGGAATGATAATAGATGTTCATCACAGTTGTAAAACCAGTATTATTACTCTCAACAATTTACTACTGATTCTTTAGAAACAGTAGGTAATAAAACTTACATTAAGCCTTTTGTTCTGAACCCAATAATGTATTTTTTTATTTAAGTAGGCCTCATTGGTGTTCACTTATAAATTTACTTTCTGAGCCATTTGAGAGTTAGCTTTAGATAGATATCACTACATTGAACCCCTAGTTACTTCAGCAGATACCTCCTAAGATTTAACAGTGATAGCAATACTATTATCAAATATACAGTCCATATTCAAATTTCCCCAGTTGTCCCAGTAGTGTCCTTTGTAGCTACACCTCCCCCCACCCCATCCAGTTAAGGATCACATTGCATTATATTTGTCGTGTCTCTTCAGTTTCCTTTTATCTAGAACAGTTCCTAATCTTTTAACTTTTGTTTTCTGTCTTTTATGACTGACCAGAAATGGGGTCCAGGCCAATTGTTTTATAGAATGTTGTGTTCTTAGGGCATCACACCATAGGACATATTATATCATTTTGTCTCATCGTTTGTAAAGGTAAATTGGATTGTTTGGTGTCTGCTAGATGTCTCCATTTTAGAGGAACTGTATTTTTCCTTTTGCAATCCATAAGTAATATGTGGGGTGAGGTTTTGAGCCTGAATATCCTGTTCCCAACTGTCTACCCTAGACAGTTTTAGCATACATTGATGATTCTTGCCTGAATCAATTACTATTATGAAAACTGTAAACTGGTGATTTTCTATCATTCTTTCTACATTTATTATAAGTGATATTCTTCTGTAAAGAAGACCTTTCCTTAAATCCCCCTACACATGTTTTTATTTTGTTATTTCTTAGTTATCAGTACAGACTCAAATTTTTCTTATTCAGTGTGTTATGCATTCCATTCCTGTCATTATTCACTTTTGGAAATGTGCTAGGAAGTACTATTTAAAAAAAAAAAATCATGAATTCATGTTGATACCTCTAATTCTAATTTCATAGCACAGGGTTCTTTCCCTCTTTTCTCCGTTCCATAGTTGTGTTTCTGTACTCCCACAGTGAGAAAGCACCCTGGTTCCCAACCACATCGTTGTATTTACTTGCTCAGTTCTACAGTACACACAGATTGTGAGGATGGCACAGAACAGGCAACGTTTTTTCTGTTATTCATAAGGTCGCTATAAGTCGGAGCCAACTTGATGGCACCTAACGACAGTACAGTACACACAAAGTAGCTTCTTAATTGTTACATCAATACCACTGCTGACAGAAAAGCTTTACAGATTGGTAAAGTTTGAGAATTCTTTACTGAAACTATAGAGTATTATATTCAAAAGTTATTTAAGTTACTTTTTTTTTTAGCATGTTTATGTTATTATTTGATATAATATAGTTAGTTGCATTGTTTATAATCATTATTAGAACTTTCCTTCTCATCGTTGTTGATTTATTTTTATTTTTTGTCTATGTAAAGCATTAACATAGTTCAAAAGTCAAAGCCATATGAAAACATATACTCAGATCCCTTTCTTATGCTTTCTGTACCATTCTTGCCAACCTGTTGTGTAGGTATAGTTTATCCTGCCTGTATTTCTTTTTGCAAAAATAAACAGCTCCATCTATATCCTTATATATCTAGTTTTTTCTTTGTTTCGTTTTCATATTGTTGTGGGTGTATCTTCAGGGTAAATCCCTAGAAGTGGGATTGCTGATAAATGTGTAAATAGATGTGTAGTTTTGTTAGATATTGCCAAATTTCTGCCGCAGGGAGTACACCATTTCTCACTCCTGCCAGCAGCATGTAAGAGTATCTCCACAACCTTGTCAATAGTGTGTTGCCGAGCTTTTTAATTTTTGCCAGATAGGTGAGAATGATATTTTAGTGTATTTTTAATTTGTATTTATCTTACTACAAGTGAAATTGAGCATCTTTTCATATGTTTAAGCATCATTTGTGTATCTTTTTTCATAAAGTATCTGTTCTAACCTTTTATTCACTTTTTTTTTAATCCAGTTTTTTAGTGGGTATATGGTCTTTTTATTCTCGATTTGTAAGAGTTCTTTATTATTAGAGATATTAGATCTTTATCACAGGTATATGTTGCAGACATTTTCTTTCAGTATGTCTTGATCTTTTGGCTTTGTTTATAGTATGTTGCCAACAGCGTTGCATTTTTAAGTATGCAGTAGTAAATATTACACACATGAATGAATAAACAAGCATTAAAGATACTCTGAAAGTTTAAATAGAACTCTTATTGAATATCTTGAGGGATTTCTGAAAAAATATGGTATGTTATTTTATCTACTAACATGTTCTGTTAAACTGTCATTAACTTTGATGACAAGTGTTATAGTTTATTTTCTAAAAAATTAAAAATAAGAAAGAAGCTCCAAAGAAAAATAAATATAACTAGATATAATTATATAACACCATATGAGGATATAAATTTATAATATGAGATTTAGGAATCAGAGAATTTAGTTTTGGGAAATAATTTTTGCAATTTGCTCTTTTCTCTCATTAAGTTGGAAAAGAGGATTTTTTTCTTGAAAATAGATATTTCTGAAAAGGGTTAAGTTGGTTTTCTTGAGAGAGTTTGAGAAAATTGAATCGATTTATTGGATTATAAAATAAATAATTTCAAGGCATTCCAGACAAAATTAGAGAATTAATTTGACCATTGATTTAGAACCTATGAAAGTGGTAAAAAAAAAAAAGAAAAAAAAAGTCTCCATTATGTTACAGCTTTTGACTGTAGCTTAGAAAATGTTAATTTAGAATTTTATTCTGGAGTCAATACAGTAAAAGAAAATGTCAATTTTCACCCAGTGCTTTTTTTAAAGCTCTTTTTAGAAATATCATCAAGTTCCAAAATCCATTTATTTTTGTTTCATTTAATTTATTCTGAATTTTAACAGCAAAATTATGAAACCAGAATAACAATTGCCTAAAAATGAAGTTTGCATCAGATATAGCTATAATTATTTTACAGTAAGAATCATTTTAAAATCATAATCTTCTTGTGATTTAGGAGAAATTGAAATTATTGAATATATACTTTTTCTCTTAAGGAGAAAAATTCCTGTTTTGTACAAGGATACTTGGTAAGGTGGTATGGTCTTGCCACCCTGTCCACCTTCCCATTTCATAGGCTCACCAACTTTTCTGCCTCAGAGTCTTTGTACTTGTTCTGCCTTTTGCCTAAGTATTTTCACCCCGGCATAGCTGTTTTTTTCTTGTCTCAGCTTAAATGTTACTTCCCATGAGAGGCCTCATCACCCTAACTAAAATCACTATCATATCACCCTTTGATATGTTACCCTTTTGTATCACAATCTGAATTTACCTGGTTTAATTATATATTTTATGGATTTATGGAGCCCTGGCAGTGCAGTTGTTAAGAGCTCAGCTGCTAACCAAAAGGTAAGCTGTTTGAATCCACCAGGCACCCCTTGGAAACCCTTTGGGGCAGTTCTACTCTGTCCTATAGGGTCACTATGAGTTGGAATCAACTCGATGGCATCGGGTTTGGTTTTAATTATGTATTTACTTGTTTGTCGCCTGTGTCCCGCCCTTTTCCAGGAATCTTGTTGTCTTTTCATGCTTTGAAAATAATTGTTTAGTGAATAAATGAGTATCAGTTCTTTTCTCAAGCCATAGCCAAACAGATTTAAGATAGATCCAGAAATAGCATCTAAGTGCTTTTTCTTTTTCTGTGGCTGCACATAGCAGCAGTGTAATGGTGGACTTGTCTTTCTTGCTCCTTACAATTGGTCAGTTATTTCATGTTCAGTGTAGGTTGTTAGCTATTGTCTCAGTATTTATTTTTCAATTAGTTTGTAAGAAAGAAAGGGAAACGTTCCTACTGTTTACTTAGAAAGTAACCAAAAAAACTTTCATTCTAACTTTTTTATCATGAAACCATTCAAACATACACAGAGAAAAATCCCCCTATAGACCCACAATCCAGATTCAATGATTATCAAGATTTTGTCTCCTGTTAAAATTTATGTTCCTTGTTTTTTTCAGTTAAAACAAATTTTTAGAAGACTACTATATGTACATTGATTAATGTAATTTGATTTTTATCCATTATAGCTTGGAAACCGCTTACTACAGTAATTTCACAAGCTATACCAAAGTTTCCTCATCTGAACCAGGATTCTCAACAGGTAAATTTTTTTTTTCTATCAGTATATTCTTGTATTTTGATATAGCATGTTCTCTAATTTTTAATAGGATTATAGTAATACAGAGGTTCCCAAGCTATCTCAGTTCATGGCCCCCTTTGTATCTCAATAATTTTTTCACAACATCCTTAGGCCAAAAGAAATACCTAACAGTTCTATTTATTACATAGTAAGTAGTATTAAACAACCTAGTAGGTATTTATATCCTAATAATTTAGTAAGCATTTTACTTTTAAATGAACACGGTTACTTACTAATGGAATGAGTGCATCTGTTGGACACTGTACAACTTTTCAAACCTTGGAATAGATTAGACACCATCACTCCATTTCTTGTTCTACATTGATTTTCGCACAGTAATTGCTTTTTATCATGGCAACCTCCTCAAGCCCAGATTCACAAAAACATGATGTCATCAAAAGAAATGTAATAAGATCTAATGTTGAAACTGAACTACCTTGACTTAATTCATTCAGCGTCCAACAGATATTGAGACTCTGTTCTCCAAATTAAAATATTTTGTGGAAGCCCTATGAGATCACTGTGTACCTCAGGGTACCTTGATGCACAGTTTGAGAACCATGGTAGTAATACAAAAAACAAACCCATTGTCAGCGAGTTGATTCTGACTCATAACAACCCCATAAAAACAGTACTGCTAATTAGGATGAATTGAAATTCTGGAATAGTTTAGATTAGTGGTTCTCAAGGAGGGTGCTATTAACATTTTTGAAGGGACGATTCTTTCATTATGTGGCATTGCCCTTTCTAGTGGACATGTGTGAAAGAAAATAAAATGTTGTATTTGCCCCAATTTTGCATCTTACTTTATTTCCCATGTTACTGGTCTTTTTTTTTCCTCTCCAATAATCTTGATTTTTTTCCTTCTTTTTAAAATACCAAAAAAAAGGTGAAGAAAAAAATAAAACTTACTCTACTACCCAGAGGTACTCAACATTAACATTTCCAGCTTTTTCTCTGTCTTAAAAAATATGGTTAAATAGATGTGAAGTCTTCTTAAACATGCCTTCTAAAGGTTACTTAACATTCCATCATATGGCTATCCTATACTTTTGACAAAAAGTTCCTATTTTGGACATTTAGATTGTTTCCAGCATTTTACCATTGTAAGTAATACTTGAGTAAGTGTTTTTGCACATAAATCATTATTTGCATTTTAAACTATTTTCTTATATTTGATTCCCAGAAGTGGAATTGATTAATTGAAAGTCAAAGAACAATTTTTTTAGGTTCTTGACACGTATTGCCAAATCTAAAAATTTTAATATTTTACAGTATGAATGTTTATTTCACTTCATTCTTCCCAGTTCTATTAAGAGATTTTTAAATTCTTTCTAAGTGTTAATAGAATGTTACTCATGTTTTAGCTTTTATTTCTTTGATTATTAGTGATGATGTACATGTATCACTTATATCTAATAGAAATTTACATTTTTATTTTATAAATTACTATTGCCTTTCGGTATTCTTATATTCCTAAGATGCTAAAAGAAGATAAATTTGCAAATAAGCCACTTGAGTCCTTGCAGGTAAGTTATCTTTAAAATACAAAAATACAAAGTAGCCAGAAATTATATAATTTTAAAATTTGCATTGTGCACTGTCAGCTTTCAGACTCATTCATAGTTACCCCTAATCTAACCTGCTATCTTTTGTAGAAATGTCCTGTGTGGTCAGTATGATTTGGTTAAATACCAAATCCTTCATCATAAAGCTAACTTTGTAAACTAAGTCAAGAATTGTCATTGACAATTGAATCTGCAGCTCTGTTGCCAAACACAGAACAAAACAAAAGAAAATCTGTGTTGTGGTGACTTATCATTTTTTACCCAAGATCAAGCATATAAATTCATAAATAACCAGCAACTACATAATTTAGCCTAACAATGATCACATTCTTATTGTTTCTTGCACTTGAAAAATAGAGGTTTAACTTTTTCCAGGACAGTTATCATAAAGTATAAACTGCAGATAAACTCCATCGTTGTTTTTTTCCACTAGAATGAGTTGTCATTTAAAATAAATGTCACACATTGTTAACAATTGGCTGTAATCTCACAGAAATGAAGTAGGCTGTACATTCTTTTAAAAGAAAAATTATATCTTTTTTAACATTAAAATAGGAGTGCATTTCTACTTTTGTAATGGCTCTTCTTACCACGGCTCTCAGAAACAACCTCTTTATATACATTGGTGGTGGAAGGAACTTCTAAAACTTAAGTTTGGGTGCCCTTTGAAAATACACAATGCCACCTCTACCTTATTTCTATAAGTATAATTAGCTACACATAGCAAAGGAGCTATTTCGTCACTGGAAGTACTATGCTAATTAATTTTAAAATTCATTATGTTAGAAAATTCTGATTCTAAAATATGAATTGAAGGTTTTCAGGAACTACTTGGTTGGCAGTTGAGCTTATATGTAGTATCATTATTTGAAGAAGTACACTACCTCTTCTGCGAAAGTCTTTTTCTCTCCATATTTCTTAAATGTAAAAAAAGAAGTACTATAGTTGAATTCACATTTTAGGCCTATCTAATTCATATAAAAATTATGGTTATTTTATATAGTTACTTGATGAACTAAAAATGACTAGTTGCTGCTTTCTGTGTCTTGTGTTTTATGATTGTTAGGAAGATGATTCATTCTTTTTTGTCACTCTGTTTACAATTTTTTCTCCTTTAATTTCATGCTGATTTTTAAATTGAACTATCTTCACTTGTAAAAGTATTAGGTTTGATGGGTGATTTATTATATACCAAACAGCTTTTTGTAGTGTTAAAAAATTCAATTAAAATTTTAGAATCTGAATTTTCTAATGTGTTGAGTTTTAAAGATTAATTAGCATAGTACCCTATCTGTTAGAGCACTTTTTTGTCATGTGTAGCTTGTTTTATATATATATGCATATATATATGTACATATATATAAACAGATAAAGGCAGAGAAAGAGAGAGAGAGAAGCAACATGGAGATGGCCTTCAGTGTATTTTCCAGGGCAAGCAACTTTTTAAGTTTTGGGAGTATTTTTTCCATCAAACTTATGAACCACTTGTAAAGCTATCCTGGCTAATATACTTACTGATATTTTATTCTAGTTCTTTACCTTGGGAAGTGAAAAAAAGAACGCTTTTCCAGCTGTTATTCCTAAACAAATAGAGACCTGTGACCCTAAGGTAAAATTTGTGAAGATCCTTGATTTTCTAGCTCACTGTGTTTTCCTGTTATTATCTCCACGATTATCAGAGTTTTCATAGGCAGAAGGTTAGTAAGCGTAATGAATTAGCATCATTTTAAGGACAAGAGAAACTAATTATTTAATGACTCTTTCCACCTTTTTTTTCAGAGCTCTAGTGGTGCAGTGGTTAACAGCTCAGCTGCTAACCAAAAAGTCGGCAGTTCAAATCTACCAGCCTCTCCTTGGAAACCCTATAGGACAGTTCTACTTTGTCCTGTAGGGTCACTGTGAGTTGGAACCAACTCCATGGCACCTAACAACAACAACCACCTTTTTTTGGTCTTGAATTTCTCTCTACTAGTAATGAGCTGATAATACAGTATCTGCAGTATCCATATATATAGGATACCCTAGGGATAGACACAAAGCTGTGTAAAGTACAATTAATGAATGTTCTGTGGAGAACAAAATTAACTTATTATAATCTACTCCACCACTTCTTTTGACTGAATATGTAGAAGAGTATGGAACGCAAGCTCTAAATAATACTACCTAAACTCCATTGCTGTCAACTGAATTCCAATCATAGCAACCCTAGAGGACAGAGTAGAACTGCCTCATTCGGTTTCCAAGGCTATGATCTTTACGGAGGCAGACAGCCACATCTTTCTCCCATGGAGCGGCTGCTGGGTTCGAACTGCCAACCTTTCTGTTAGCAACCAAGCACTTAAGCCACTGTACCAGCATGGCCCCTTAGAACTCTCTAGTCCACATCAAAAAGTGATAGAAACAACGGCATATAGATGGTTGCTTTTGTAAATAGTGATACTATTCCTAAAGCCCAGCAGACCTCTGGAAGGGATCTACCTGGCAGGATAGAAGACCAAGGGACCTATTTGCTTGTGGGTCATATGCGTTCCTCATCACACAAAACAAATATACAGTCTTTAACAATTGAGACTTGTTTAAATTGAAACGTATATGTTTTATAACTTCAGAAGAGTATTTTCAACAAAAGTCTTGTATAAGAAGCATTTTGGATTTGATTTTCCTTTCAAATGTGTGATTTAGAATCTTCATTTTAAGATAAGAGTATGTTCAAATGATAAATTATTGCCATTTGGTTAATTCATCACTTGGAAATAAATTAATCCTTTATGTACATTCCTTTGGCTCTATTGGCGATCTTATTTTTCCACATTGTGGGTAAGCTTTGTCACCTAGTGTGGAGTAAAAATCCTAGACCCTCAAGGGGGCAGCAGAGAAAACTATTTGATCTGTGAAAACAGATGGAGTCTTTGAGGGGATGAAAGAACCTCTCTGTGGGTACATGTCTGCCTTGGAGTCACACTCCTATGCCTTTGCTCTTAGAGCAACAGGCTATCAAATATTCTGCTGGGAGGCAGAGAGCCCACTACCTTAACATCTTGTGTTAAGCCTTGTAGTTTACAAAACCCTTAAGAGAAGGAAAATGCTTCCTATATTCCTTCCCTTTTTATCTGTTGTATATTTATTGTTTGCTTCTTATATGCTAAGCACTGTGTTAAATACAGGTGATATCTAGACAAAACAAAAAGTCTCTGCCCTCAAGGAGCTTACAGTACAGTGTGTATACAGATAAGAATAGATTTCATTGGAATACAGTGTAATAAGTCTGCAGTGGAAAGTTGTATAACATATAGTGGAAGCATAGAGAAAGGAGCAGCTCTTTCTGGCTTTATTAGTCCATTATTACTTTACTCATTACTATGCTCATAATAAAATAATTCATATTTGTTAATGTTGAACTTGAATGCAATTAAGTCAGTACACTTAGAAATTTTACCCTTAAAAAGTGTTTTAGAATTCCTGGTTTTCAGCATTGCTCCCTTAGTTATTATTTACAGTAGATAATATTTAATAGAAAGCTGAATTATATATTGTTGTCTATGTATGTCAATATATCCTTATGCAGTTCTCATCTTTTATAATTTACCTGTAGCTTGTTGAGTTTCAAGGGCACCAAGTGAAAGGATCAGCTACTAGTGCTGTGATGGTCAGAGAATATGGCTCACAGCTAGAATGCAGTCTATTTCCAGATAGCATTGAGTATGAAAACTTTATGACAGACTCTTGTTTTCCGACATCAAGTTGCATGCAGATTGACTTATTGCAGGTAAAAATATTTTTATAGTTGCATCTTGCCCAATCACTTATACACTCTAAAGAGAGTATAGTTAGCTAAATCTTTGTACGGTTATAAGTTAAATAGGAGTACAGTAAATTAAAAAGAAGCATAATGTCTTAGATCAAGCTATATGGGACAAAAATACTTTATTTGAAAGATCATCCTCCGTTTTTGCATAATGCTGATTTTCGCATAACGACCTGGTCTTTAGAACCTAACCATGTTGATAAGTGAGGAGTGGGTGTACTCATTGTCAGTTGTGTGTTTACCAAATATCTTCCCCTACTCTGGTTATCTTTTCACTTTTAGTGGTGTCCTTTGTTAAATAGAAGCTTATAATTTTTTTTTTTTTTTTTTTAAATATTTTATTGTACTTCAGGTGAAGGCTTACAGAACAGATAGTTTCTCATGTAACAGTAACACACATGCTGTTTTATGACATTGGTTA